GAAATGATAAACACTTGAGGTGATGGATAACCCATTTACCCTGATGTGATTATGCACTATATGCCTGTATCAAAATATCTCATGTACTCCATAAATACACCTACTTATGTCCATACAAAATAAAAATTAAAAAAGAAGTGCATCCCAGAGAGGTCACGTAAGTGGGGCAACACCAGTAGGTGCCATGGTTCTAGACAGACATTGTCATGAAAAGTTCACCCGGTGGGAAACGGTGGCTCATTTCTGTAATTCCAGCACTTTGGGAGACTGAGGCAGGTAGATCTTGAGGTCAAGAGATCAAGACTATCCTGACCAACATGGTGAAATTCCATCTCTACTAAAAATACAAAAATTACCTGATTGTGATGGCACATCTCTGTAGTCCTAGCTACTGGGGAAGCTGAGGCAGGAGAACTGCCTGAACTGGGAGGTGGAGACTGCAGTGAGCAGAGATCGCACCACTGCACTCCAGCCTGGCAACAGAGCGAGACTCCATCTCAAAAAAAAAAAAAAAAAAAAAAAGTTCACCTGTGGCAAATGCATTAGGTATCTAGAGTCTTCAGTCCCAATGACTGGACAGAAGACTACTTAGATACCAAATCTCAAGTACTGTCCATAAAGATTGAGACTATGGACTTAGCTATCTCCTTACACTCTGTCTTGTGAGGGAGAGGAGTGTCTCGGAAGTACATGTTTTATTCGGTAAATACCAGTAAACTCTCACTAATTTCTCCATTGAGATCTCATTGCTAACATCCTCTGGGCTATTAATTTTATCAGTGAAACTCTGTTTTTAATATTCATTATGTTAATTATTACTAAAGCTCTGGTGTTAATCAAAGAAAAAGATTGGGAAGTACGTCTACTAGTACATTTGTATAGTGCTGGAGCTGGGCTTCTTGATTAGAGCACTAGCTGACCCCACTTCAGATGCTGATTTCTGGTTAGGGCAACTAATAATACTTAAGGTGCCACCTAAATTTACTAATGCAAACATACATTCAACCCTGTCTTAAAGTACAAATATCCTAATTCAAATCCAATAGGCAACAGGATATTTGAATCTGGTGCTTGGGGAAAAAATCTGAATTGGAAATCGTTTTAGGAGTTTTATGGCTGGCATATTTATTTCTACCCTTTTTCTTTTATAGCACAATTTTCCTCTTGATTCTTACTTTGTGAACTATTTCATATGTATCTTTATTCTTCCCTCTAAGCTACTTTAAATTCTTTTTGGAGAGTGGAAGGTTTTAATTAATATCAGTAAATAAGACTTTTACCCTTCCATATCATTTATTTTAAATTTCTACTAAGAACCATTTTTTCTGCAAGTAACTTTTACATTTTTTTAAGTTTTATAAATACATAGTAGGTGTCGTGGTGACAGCTAATAGGACAGAGTGTAAGGTTCCATCAACTTTACAAAAGAGTTGATACTAATGATTTTTGTGACTGCTTGCTAATAAATTCTTATACATAAAATCTGTGTGTGTGGAGAAATTGTTCTTAAGACTTGGACTTGCTGTTAATGTAACCTGATACCAGTATATAGGAGTACAGCTGGTCCTTGTCTACTTTAGACTTTTTGGTGGTTACTATTATCAACCCCTCCCCCCCACACACAAAAAACCTCACAGTTATGCAAAAACAAAATGGCTTAGGTCAAATCACAGCTTGTAACTGATATTATATTAAATGCAAAAGCTAAAACTAAACTCCAGCCACCCACCCCCAGCATTGTATTCCTTCTGGGGTTTTTGCTTAATTAATTAATTTTCTAATTAATTTACCTTGTCATCTGTGAAAGAAAAAATTGTTCATGACACTTGGTAAAGAACAGGAAGATAGACTTCATTCAGGACCATCATGAGAGATGTAGGGACCACTGCAATGGGGTTTTGCAGTGGAGGAGAGAGACTGGGCTCAACTCCAAAAACAGCAGAGAAAACTGGAGACAGAAAGAGGAAGGAAGGGAGGGACGGAGGAAGGGATAAAGGGAGAAGAAGGAAGAGGAGGGAAGGAGAGGGGAGGGAAGGGGAGGAAAAGAAAGGAGAGGGGAAGGGAAAGAAAGGGGGGGAAGGGGGAAGGAGGGAAATTAGGAAGGAAGAAAGGAAGGAAGGAAGGAAAATAGAAGGGGGAATGGTGGGAAGAAGGAAGAAAAGAAAGAGAAAGAAGTACACATTATTATACACATTAAAGTACACATTATAGTAATTTTCTGATAAAAGATTGCTATAAAAAACATCTATAAATTCTGCTTCTATATTTTCTATACAACTGTTTCTTAGCTGCGGTGAAAGTAAAGAGTGAAAGAGTCAGAAGATTGAAATTGCCATCAGAGTGTTTTATGTTAGTATCTGAGATTTCACAAAATAGTCTGGATAGGACTCCCAGTGACTCCAGCATACAAATCACTGGACAGGAACTCCCAGTGATTCTTACACCGCTGTTGAGATTCTTTCCAGTCTCTGTGCTGGATCCAAGTTATACCTCAATAAGCAAAAATAAACATAGGTCCTACCCTCAAGGAGTTTTCTGCTGAATCGGAGGAGAGAGAAGGTATATATCAGTCAAGGTCTAATCAGCAAAACAGGAACCACTTCAGATCTTTTCTACAGAGGGAATTTAATGCAGGGTATTGGGATGGAGTAGCTAAGAAGTCAGACAGGGCAGCAGGTACCCAGAGAATAACAGCAGGAAGCCATTATCACTCCTAGGTAGAAGGACAAAGGAAAGAGACTATATTAGTGGGGCCCAGAGGCTGGGACCACCTACCAGAAGATTGGTCTGTGTAGAGGAGATGGATCCACAGGGAAGAGAGCTGCTGCTGGAGCTACAGTCCAAAGCAGAAAATCAAAGCAAAAAATAATCTTCCTTCTTTTTCCCAGTCCCCAATTTATTGCCATTGCCTGACACTAGGCAAACCCAGCCTGACGCTCACAGAGTCAGGAGCCTGGGAACCATGGCCTGCAGCAGGGTTCAAAACAAGGAAAGTATAAGAAATAGATCTGAGGGCAAGCACTTCCAGATATGCTAGAGGAGAAGACAAATATTAATCAAAACCATGCAAATGTTCCACTGCAGTTTGTTCTAAGTTCTGGGAAAAGGAAGTGTATTTCCAGAGCCTGTAATAGGAGCTCCCATACAGTCTTGAGAGTCAGGGAATTCTTCCTTAATGGAGAGATGATTCAATGGCTCCTGAAGTATGGAGCATGTATTGACTAGGTGATGAGGTGGGGGCTTATTAGAGAGGGAGAGTAATGGGCATGCAAAGACAGCAAGAGGATCATGGAGTTTTCAAATAACTTAGAAAGTCAGTACAGTCAGAATGCAGAGTACACTGTGGGTTAAGGGTTTATTCTATATGTAAAAGAAAGTCACTTAAGAGTTTTAAGCAGGGCAGGAAAGACATCCTCTATGCCTTAAGAACACTCCCAGTGCTGCAGAACAGGTTTGAGTGGGGTGCCTGTGGCTCTGGAAAGGCAAATGCAGCTGTCCCAGTGAGAAATAGAGTTGGCTTGACCTGGAGTGAGTAATGATGATGGAAAGAACTTGCCTTAATCTGGGTGATGAAGAACTCTGAAGCCAATGTGTTGTCAACTGGGTCATTTACATGGAGAAGTTGCCTAGAATGGGAGCAGAGCTAAACAGAAGAGAAAGACTTGTGTGTCAGGGGTCAGGGTCCCAAATGAATGTGAAGATCTGACCAGGAGGTCAGGGAAAAATAGTGGATAACAGTGACAAGAAGGTTAAAGGTCCACAGGAGGAGCCGCTGTGGAAGAATGAATCAACTGGGACAAAGTGCAGTAAGGTAAACATGTAGAGGTGGCTTAAATACCACATGAGCAAATGGGACAGGAGTGGGAGGCTAGGTGGGATTCAGCGACCTCAAAGTTCGCAGAGGAACTCTGACTACAGTGGATACTATGACGTACCACCCCGGTAAGCCTTCAGGATTAAGGAGTTTATTCCCCCAGCTGCTGGGAGTACTGCCAACATTCTGTCCTCAGCTGCCAGACCTCTTCCAGAACTACCTTGGATTCCAGAACCTTCTGCTTCCAAGGTCACATAGGCCTCCTGGGGAAGCCCACAGCCACTGACTGGTTGATTCAGGAATATAAAGGCCTCCACCTCCAGCCCCAACTCAATACAACTCTGAAGGGCCATACCAGCTTCAGACTCCCATGTGGCTAGCTGAGGGATTTGTTGAGACAACATCACAGCCCAACTACTCCCTCCACCCAATCTGCTTCTTCCCTTCCACAGGGGATAATCCCAAGAACAGTCCCTAGTGCTAATCTCAGAACCATTCCTGCATGCTAATCTCAGAGGCTTCTTCCAAGGCAACTCAACCTGTGACATTAGCATATAATTCCTTCAGAATAGACTGAGGCCCTAGAAGTCTCCCTGAGACCCAATGTGCTCACCACCTTTGGACTGTGTTCAAGGTTCCAGATAGAAACTAATAATAATCACAAATATTTACTGAGTAATTACATGTGCCAAACAATGTACACAATGTTAATTCATTTAATCTTTACAACTTTATTTCACAGATGAGTAAACTGAAGCACAGAGAGATTAAGAAACTTGATCAAAGTCACACAATAGAATATAGAGGTATCAGCGTACAAACCCAGGCAGTTTCTGGTACAGGCAGCCTTTCTCCTAATCTCTTCTCTATACTACCCCTTGTGCCAGTGAGTTTGGTAAATGGCTGTTTTCCCATGTTGATAAATATCCAGTCCCAGGTAGGTACCCATGTTCTCTTTGTGAAACCAGATTATTGGAAGCAAATTATAACATGTTTCCTATGAATAAATTCCTTTTTCTTATTGTGTTCAATTTATGCTACCAACACTACTTTGCACTAAATAGAGACACTGATTAGAAGCTGGTGAAACAGACAGGCCTAGAACAAAATATCTGTTGAACCTAAAGAAAAGATAGTATCCAAGCAGATCATCAAGAAGTAAATTTGCAGAAACAAAACTATTCTTGTGCTCATTTTGGCAGCACATATACTAAAATTGGAATGATACAAAGAAGATTAGCATGGCACCTGCACAATGACGACACTATTGAAAAAATATTCTTAATCTTTTGATTGTAATAAGTAACAGATAAAAGTGAATCATTTTTCAAACTCATGGCTAGAAGATACGGGTCACAGATAATACATTCTAAAGGCCAAACAATCATACATTTACCATCAGTTGTCTATTTCTTAAATTTCCTTCCTAGAAAAACACAAACTTAACAGAATTCAATAAAAAAGGAGTTAGTGTGTCAGATACAAAATAGTAAAGCAAACCTACTAGGAAACTCTAATTGGCTTCATCTTTAAGGTTCAGCTTCTTTTTGTGGCCAGGACAGGGGCCTAAAGACATTCTTTATTATTCATTTAATTAAATGACAAATAAAACAAGTTCTCTTTTACACGTGTTTTCTTTTTCAGCCTCTATGGTGTGAAATAAACATGAAGCTGTCAAACAGAATAAACTGAGACAGGCTAAACTAATTTGCCACTGATGATAGTCATTATAAACAATCTGAATGCTGTTCCACCTCACTGGGATTTAAGTAATCTGTCAAAAATCCCGATATTCTAAAATCTGCATATGTAATCAGGAAACATGGGGAAAAAATGAGAATAGTTAGTTCAATCAACAGAAATATCCTCATTCCTGATATGAAAATAGAAGAGTCCCTTCAGGATTAATTTCTTTAGGCCCTTCTCTCTTTCTCATTCAAATGTCATCCCATGCAAACAATTATTGTTAGCCTATTCCTTCCTCAATATTTAGAAATGTTGCTCAATATTGTTAGAAAAGTCGGTCTTTTCAGAGCCAGCTAGAGGCAAAACTATTAAACAAGATGAGCTTGTCTTTCAATTAAAAAGAATATCCAGTGCTAATAAAGACCTGGTTAAATGTACAGTCTCAAAAATTCCTGGGGAGAATTTTTAATTCTCTTAAAAATAAAATTTTAATTATATTCTATTTATGAGAATATATTCTAGTGTAATCATCCTAAAGATGGAATAAAAACTTTATACACAAAGATGTTCATTATGATACTATTATTTATAATAAGAAAATACAGAAATAAAGCAACTATCCAGCAATACGGGAATGGTTAAATAAAATATGATGCACACACAGGGAAATAGCATGAGCTGTTTTAAATGTCAAGAGTTTTAATAACATTTGAAAATGCATATGTTATCAAGTTAAGTGAAAAGTAGCAGGTTATGAAATTATATACATAACGTTCTCAATTATGTTAAAACATGCAAAAATATGGCAAAAGGCGAATAATAGTCAAGATAATTTTAAAGAAGTTAGAGGAAAAGGGGAATTTTACTGTTCTAGATATCAAGGCTTACTGTTAAGTTGTAATTATTAAAACTGTGAGTATTAGGGCAGAAATAGACAAACAGATCAATGGAGAGAACAGAAACTTTATTTATGTATTCAATTTGCTTGTTTTGCTTTTATTATTATTCTTATTTTGAGACAGTCTCACTCTGTCAGCCAGGCTGCAGTACAGTGATATGATTTCCGCTCACTGCAGCCTCAGCCTCTGAGGCTCAAGTGATCCTCAGCTCCCAAGCTGAGACTACAGGTACAAACCACCATACAAGCCTATTTTCATATTTTTTATAGAGACAGAGTTTCACCATGTTGCCCAGGCTGGTCTCGCCTCCTGAGCTCAAGCAATCTTACCCACCTCAGCCTCCCAAATTGCAGGGATTAAAGTGGTGAGACACCACACCCAGCAACAGACAATTTACATAAGATATAATTTATGTATATACACACAAGCACACACACACATACATATATACACGTTTATACATGTATACACACACATGCACACACTTACATATAAAGGTGGCATTATAATCAAAACAAATAATTCTAAAACACAGATTCCAAATGGAAATACATATACAAATAATTTATATCCCTACTTTATATTGTATATAAAAACTAAAATCCACATGGATTCAAATACTTAAATATAAAAAAACTCTGAAACTTTCATGGGAAACTATAGTCGTATATCATTATGATAAGATTTTCACTAAGAGTAGAAAACAATTTATTAAATGAGATACAAAAAGGCAAAGCATAAAGAAAAAAGATTAATAAATTCAATTGCATAAAAAAATAAAATTCCACATAACCCGTCCTTAAAAAAATAAAGTGAAATGACAAGCAACTGACTGGGAGAAGTTATAGCAACATCTATTTGTATTATATATTCAGGAATACATAAAGAATTTCTACAAATTAAAAATATGAGAAACCAAAATTGCACAAACAGAAAAAGAACAAAGGGTATTAATAGGAAATTTGTAGAAGAAAAAAACCGAATCATCAATAAACATATGAGATGTTTAATCTCACTAGCAATTAAGAAAATGTGAATTAAAATCAGAGTAGGAACCTATATCTTACTTAAAAGAGTGACACAAGATTAAAAAGTCTAACACTATCAGCAGAGATGTTAAGATGGGCATTCTCAAACATAGCTAAGGTGTGCTGGGAGAGAGCTTGAGAAAGCCCAATCTAGGCTCCACTTTGCTTTCCAGAAACCAGATTTGTAACATACTGAGCTCTTGTTAATGGTGAGAATTTGACTGGTGAAGAGGTTAGGGTATCTTTGGGCATGTAAGCTTTTAGCCCTCCTTTAAATCTTGCCGCATCATCAACTGGCAATGCAACTCCCAAGCAAAGCAGAGCTTCCTCTGCCTGCATCTGTGATGGAACTAGTTCTTCTCTCTCACCCCTTCTGACCAGAGTCTCACTGTCCCAGTCAACTGCGTGAACTGGAAAGTAAGTCAGTCACCTGCCTTCTGCCTTGTAAAACCTAGACTAAAATTTTAATGGAATCCTTCTCAAGGCAATAATCTCAATACTGATCTTTGGGTAACTAAGGGGAGAGCCATCTGGAGCCCAATGGTTCAGCACTAGACCTTCTGTTTCCAGAAGACCCCAAAAGGGCACAATCTGGAAGGGAGAAGAAAAGAAAGCAATCTGCACTATTTGGCATAATAGCACAGCTGCCTGACTCTGTGGAGAGCATCACACCTTGCAAATTACAAGGCAGCTAAGGATGGGTTTTTTTCTTCCTCCTATGAGTTCAGACTGCACTGTCTCTGAGAATTCACCTGTACCCCAAAAGGAGTGTGTGTGTGTGTGTGTGTGTGTGTGTGTGTCCGCTCAGGCACTCACGCATGCATGTAAGTTCAGAAAATAAACAGACACGATTGCACGCATTCTTTTGTGAGAGCTTAAAGAAGACACAAAAGAAAGATTTCTATTCACCCTGAACGACAAGGTGAGACTGCCAGAGTCTCCATCTCCATCTGGACACTTTTATTGTGCTTTAATCCACAATTGTATCTCCCAGAGTGGGATGGCCACCATTACTTTAGGCCCAGCCACTCAGACTTGGGAAAACTGACTCCAAGAGGAAAGAGAAGAGGAATGGTGACTTAAGAAAACACAAATGTTGGCCGGGTGTGGTGGCTTACATCTGTAATCCTAGTACTTTGGGAGGCTAAGGCAGGCAGATTGACTGAGCTCAGGAGTTCAAGACCAGCCTGGGCAACATGGTGAATCCCAGTCTCTACTAAAATTAAAAAAATTAGCTGAGTGTGGTAGTGTACGCCTGTAATCCCAGCTACTTGGGAGGCTGAGGTAGGAGAATTGCTTGAACCTGGGAGGCAGAGGTTGCGGTAAGCCAAGATTATACCACTGCACTACAGCCTGGGCAACAGAAAGAGACTCTGTCTCAAAAAAAAAAAAAAAAAAAAAAAAAAAAAAAAAAAAAAAAAAAAAAAAAGAAAGAAAGAAAGAAAAAGAAAATATGAATGTTTCCTCTCACAGTTCTGGAGCCCAAAAGTCTGGAGTCAAGGTATCAGGAGAACGCTGCTGCCTCCAGAGGCTTTCAGGAAGCACCTGGGCCTGGCCTCTTCACTGCTGTTCACACTCTGGCTTGAGGCTGCATTGCTCCAGTCTCTGCCTCCATCTCCACATCAGCTTCTCCTCTATGTGCAAAATCTCCTGTCTCTCTTTTAAGGAAACACGTGACTAGATTCAGGGCCCACTTGGGTAATCCAGCATAATCTCCCCATGTCGAGGACTTTCAAGATGGCCGCCTAAGAACAGCTCAGGACTTCAGCTCCCAGTGAAAGTGCAGAGGGTGAGTGGACGCCGCATTTCCAGACGAACTCTTATTGCCCACAGACCAGGAGATACCCAGGCAGAGGGGTCGCCAGCGTCGCAGTCCCAGCCGGTGCGGCTGTTTTGGCCCCCGCGGGGCTGATTCCGCCCGCGCGGCTGCTGTGACCACTCCCTGTTGCTGCGGTTCTCCGTACAAAAGCCACTGGTCTGGGAGCCCTCTTAGCTGGCGAGCAGAGCCTTGAGACGGCAGAATAGCCCATTCATCTGAAATAGCGAGCCAGGCCAGGAGATTCCTAGGCAAAAAATCCGCCAGGAGCCGGCGCCGCGGTTCGAGCCGACTCCGTGAGTCACAGCACGGGAGATCCCGGCGCCTTTTCAACAAGCGACCGGAACGCGGGGTCGTTCAACTTAAAAGAAAAGACTCTGAGTCAGGGAGCCAGGTGATCAGGCTCCGTTGGTCCCACCCCTCCACCCCCAACAACAACGGAAACAAAAACAGTAATTGGAAACCCTCTGGGTTGAGCCCTTCAAACCAAGCACAGCTGAACCGGGACGGTCCGGCTCCGTGGGGGAGGGGCTTCCGCCATTACTGAGACTCTCCACCGCTACGGAGGCAGGCTGCCGTTGCCGAGGCAACCCGCCGTTGCCGAGGCAACCTGCCACAACAGAGAGAGTCCGCCATAACAGAGGCGGGGCCACCATTGCCCAGACAGTTCTAACTACGCCCATATAAAAAGGACTACAGGGAAGAGCTCAGGGCAGCTGGGCGGAGCCCACAGCAGCTCAGCAAAGCCCCTGCGGGCAGGCAGAGGCTAGGCGTGCTGCTAGCTGGGCGGGTCCGACCTGAAAAAAAAAAAATCAAAAAAGGCAGTAGTGCAATGGAAACTCATAAAGCTCCAACTCCCTG